ACGTACCGGATGTGGTGTTTTAACGGTTTTTGTAATTTAAAATTTCAAATCAAAAGATCGCGAGATAGATAAGGAGCAAAATAAAAAGACGCGTCGAGTTCGGGAGCGAATCACAAGTCGTTTTGATTGCAAGTCGTATAGATAACAAATCGTTTTTGTTGTTGTTGAAATGTTTAACGGATTGAACACGACGTGCTTTTTAAACCTATCGGTCGAAGAGTTGAAAAACATTTCAAAGAGGATTCTTTTAGAAGTGTTCGATAATTACGTGGAGCTTTTGTGGGACCGATTGCCTGAGCATTTGAAGGAAGATCCTGAGGTGCAGCTGTATCGTAGATGTCTCGAGCATTACAATCAACCGGGAGATTACGATCACATTGATGGACCTGCTCCGCTGAAAAAATATTGTTGCGTGTGCAAAAGCCAAGATAGAAAATCAACAATAAATCAGATCAGACAACCGAAATCGCTTCAGTTTCTAGCTGCGAAAACAATAGCGAAACATGTAGACAAGTATATTGAAATACACAAACTTGAAATTCCTAAAGTGTGCAAGGACGCAATACGAGAGATCTGGTTTGATGTACGGCTCTACCGTTACGATCGCGATATACATTGGTTATCGGTTCACGATCTACCTGAGGAACAAATATGGGAAGTGGAAAACAATTTCAACAAAGAGGACTTTAAAATATTGCAGCTATCTGCGCTCGCAATTAGAGAATACGATTAACTTCCAAGGTACGTCGAGACTATCAATCACATCGAAATCGCATACATCGAGTTTAGAACGAGTTGCGCGGATCTGAAACATCTGTCTCGCTTGTGCATCCGATGCGCGTTGCGAGTGTGGGAGTGGTGTAAACGACAACATCAGTACAAATGGTTGCAGAATAAATGGTTAAGAGTCACCGGACATCAAATGATCGAAGACGCTGACTTCATGACAGACGTTATCTGGAATTTAGAGCGATGGTGTTTCAATTGTTATAATCGACCGCTGTTTGTTTTGTATACAGAGGATGATTGTTCTTGAAATACCGAATGGCACAAAGATACACTTTCTGACGAAAACTACAAGCAACTAATAGATGAGACGATAATAAAGCGTGTACTGAATCCAACAAATATATATGATCCAATAATACTAACGTGAAACAACAATTATTAAAACCGCGCGGTGGTGATAAAAAAAAGAGGGCGCGATAATCGCAATATTTTCTACAAAAAAAACAAATAACAACAACAATGTAGTTAGTATTTCTAAAGAAAAAAAGTTGTTACACGCATGACATTGTATATATATTTAGTACAAGGAAAACCGCAACGCGCGCCAGACGATTGCAGCGGAAGCGTCAACGATGCTAGAAGTCGCGAGACGTTTTATATAAAGTTGCATACGGAAGTTGCGGCTGATCTCGCAAAATGCAAGATGCAAGCTAAGAATAACGCATAGTCTTAATCAGAATGCTACGGATACTGCGAAGACGCTCTAGTGTTCTCAATATTGTTTCTAAGAAACGTAGTTCTGATTAGAACATTCAGCAGGATGTTTAAGCATTCACAAAAATCCGTTAAACCGCATATTGTTAATAATTTAAATTTGCGCGGGAAAAACTGGTGGACATGCTGGGGATAAGCATCCGCTGCAACAAACTATAAAAGGATGATGTATGCAGAGCAAATATGCAGAAAGTTAAATCATAGCAATGGATAGACTGGACGAGTGCGTTGACGCAGTGGACCGTATTGTAGCTGTTGCCGAAGCTTTGATCTGTAAGACCAGACAGTTGGCGAATCAAATTAAAGAAGTGCAGAAGATCAATCAAACAAATATGGAACACGAAAAAGGGTTCTTCTTTACGATTACACCCACGGAAGAGACGATTCTGCTACAACAATTGTAAGTGTCACAAGAAGAAATAAATTAAATTAAATTAATAAATTGAATAAATTGAATAAAGTATATATAAATAAATTGAATAAATTAAATAAATTGAATAAATTAAATAGAACTAATAAATTAAATAATTTGAATAGATTAAGTAAATTAAATAAATTGAATAAATTAAATAGAATAAATAAATTAAATAAATTGAATAAATTGAATAAATTAAATACATTAAATAAATTAAATAAATTAAATAAATTGAATAAATTAAATAAATTAAATGAATTACATAAATTAAATAAATTGAATAAATGCATAAAGTATACTTACATAATAATGTGTGCTGTTATGTTCTTCATAGATTTAACATACACCATCAAATCTATGTGTGTGACAAAGATGTCGTAGCGATAACTTATAGCTCTGAAGCCATCGTTCAGGATGGAAAGTATGTACAATAACGGATCCAAGGTGAAGACCCAGTTTTAGTTCATTACTATCATGAATATTTGAGAGTTTCACTGTTGTAAATATATAAGAAAAAAAAATCTATGTATAATATATAGAAAAGCTTGTGTCTTAATAATAATAAAAGATACTGTTCATAGTAGAATATACATGTTTGTTTATTGTTCCCTCCATATCTGAATAACATCGTTTTTTCCATGCTGATCACCACGCGTATATTTTACACACGTTCTTCATAGCGCAATGTCTCAAGTGGTTGCCGGAGGTGAAGACTCGCAAATCGTCGAGATTTCGCAGATCTTCGATGTCATCGTAGTCGACGTCGATGATCTCGATGATGATGTCGCAATCGTTGAGTATGTCACCGACGATCTTCGTCAATCACTGCTTCTTCTCAGCACTTTTACATATACTAGTAGAGACCCATCGTTTGGCGCGCTCGACAGAGCGTTTCGAAGCAGCGGCTTCAAGCGTTGATAATCCACCATTCCATCGGTCCAGTGCAGTCTGTGATGGTTGACCGTGAGCCAGCACGCTCGCGTCTGCTCGGCTTTCGTTAGCAGGTTCCACAACATAGGTTCTTGAAATACATGATGAAGCAGCTCGCATGACGTTTGATACCCGTATCGAGGACGGTTGCATACGCGCGTTGCCGTTCGAAACGCGTTTTTCGACGTTCGATATTCGTATCGGGAATGGTTGCATACCCGCGTTGCCGTTCAAAACGAACGCTACGCTTGGCGCCGCGACCCCACAATCGTTTTAAATAATCGTTTTAAATAATCGTTGAATCTTTGATCAATTAGTCGCTGCGATTGTCGCGCAGTGGAAATCGAGAGGAAAGGGAGGCGCGACGATCGCAATATTTGTACAGAGCAAATATCACCCGGCAACAAATTTTCCATCATCGAGAAGCTTCGCGAGGCAAGAGTGATTATAAATTAAACTGTTGCTCAGCGAATGTCGGCAGTTCCGTTTGCGCGCGATGAGCGTCAATAAGTTTGGTTCGCCGTTGCAAAGTCGCAGTTACGACTACACTGACGGAGAACGCTTTCGACTAGCTAATTTGCGCAATTACGTACGCAACAACGCTCTTTGTTTATCCACGTCATCATTGTCACCCGAATATGATGCGAAGGAGCGTGCAATAACTCGATGGACAAAACCGCGAAACAGTTCCGACGCCGCAACCAAGTCTACGTAGACGCTTTCTCGCGACCGTTTGACGCAGCAGTTATCCTGGGCGCAAACGTGGACGCGCTCTCGACCACTACGACGAACTTCATAGCGAAAATTATGGACACTGTGAATAATCTGCGAGATAGCTCCGCGACTGCGTTGTCGAGCGCTGAGGCAACGGAAAAGCGGTTGTCAAGCTTGGAGAAGAGCGCGACACATTTTGTTGATCGACGTGAGTTCACCGATCTTAAAAAATATGAGGAGCAGTCAAGCAAAGAACTGACCGAGGCCGTTGAGCATCTGCGAACAAACGCGTACGACCGATTGTTGCAGCTGGAAACAACACCGCGGGGTGCGGATCCGCGTGAGATAGAAGATTTGAGAAAAGATCTGGATCAATTTTGCAAAAAAATGGGAGAGGCGATTGAGACTCTGCGAAGAAACGTGTACAATCGATTAGTGCAGTTAGAAAATTCGTGCACAGGAACAGAAACAAAAAAAGTTAGTGAATGAGTCTCTGTAAAACGAATTGTGAGCGACATGCTGTACATCGTTTGCAAGACACACAATACGTGGAACTCTATCAACACTAACTTGCGCAAGACCGTGTGA